GGCTCTCACAGGACTGTGGTTGAAAAACGTGTACTCAATTCAATAGTTTCACCCTAATTTGCCTCATCCCGCAGCACCAAAACAAGCTCAACAGTGGAACAAAAATAAACTGCGAGTTAAGTCAATTGTCCAGGTAAAGGTTTTGCAGTGCAAGCCTGGAAAGCCAAATTACAAGTAAAATGCATAATAACGTATAATCTTAGTGCACACCCAGCAACAAGATGCCCTCAATTCTGCATCAGTGGCATCATCTCCAATCCTGGGGTATACAACAGTGCACAGCGCAAGGGTCCAGGTTTCATAAACCCACCCTCCCACGCGTCCTGAACTCCTGCCTTCCCTCCTTCCCACTTCCCTCTCATGACCTGGGATCCCTGCTCTCGTCTAGATGCAGCCTCAGTGACACTCATCCCATAGTGCTTTAGATTTGCGTTTGCAACGCCCCCATCATACCCCCCCCTCCAGATGATGTCCACTCCAGGCACACCTCATACACCTCCTCGCAGCTTTCATATATCTCCGTGGTGCTGCATATTCCGCACCACGAAAGGCAGTGCTTTATCATGCAACTGCTGAAACCTTCTCCCCAGGCATGGCATCCACAGCTGCGTCACAAGATGAGTTGGCAGCTCTAGGGACAAGGCCCTTTGCCCCATGTCCTAGACAGCAAGCTGCCTCTACATCTAGTGCGGATTTTTTTTACACCACAGACTGGAGTAATGGGAGTGGTCTGCCTGGCAGAGGCGCCTGAGCAAGTGCGTTACCTATGTGTTGGGTCTGTCGTTCAAAATAGGGTGATGAATCTTTGTGGAATGAGCACAGAATATAATGTAATGTGCGTATAATAAATAAGCACTTTAATATATGTTTATGCTTAATATATGCTTATATTAAATAAGCATATTTTATATATATATGTGCTTATAATAAATAAGCACATCAGCTTATTTGTTTGCCTGTGTCTAACTGCAAGGAACTCTACCGTTCCCCTGCTCGAGGTCTCTGTGCAAGTCAGTGTCCGTGGTGCATCAGCACTTGTTGAGCAGAGAAAGTTTTTCTGCTTGAGGTTTTCGCCTGAGGCAAGGGGAAGCAGGTGTCTGCATTTCTTGTGTTCAGCGTAAGAACCGACCAACTGGTGATGTCGGCGCTTGTTTCAAAATGCAATTTCTGAGCAAAGGGTGAATGGAAAAAATAAATATGTATTTATATCGGTACACACCAACACACGACTTCCTGTTGACTAAACAAGCAACCTCTCCTCTGCTTCGGGGCTAGGTAATTACTTTTAATTATTCACCACATTTTTGCTCTCTGATTTCTTAGCAGTTTGCTTTCTGAATCTTTAGTAACAGTAATGGTGATATTCCTCCTCCCCCCTTACACCTGACCATTGCTCTTCAGCCTGCTGTTATTTCTCTCTCGTTGTTCTCATTTCAAGAAAGGGAATAGAGCTCCGAGCACACAGTAAACTGAAAGGATGCTAGGACATCCTTCTGTGACCCTGATAAGCTGGAGCGGTGTCTCTTGCTAGATAACCCCCCAAACACACCAGCACAGTGGTGTGTTCCCACCTGGTCTTTAACCTTTCTAGCCTTCCCCACTGGTCTTTAACCGACCCAGGCTTTGATCAGAAACAGAGATGGAGTCATCTTCAGGAAAATTGTTTTTCTCTCCCACCCCCAGTCCCCTCTCCAAATAAGTTTGCAGAAAGGAAGGAAAACCAGAGTGGTCAGCATCTCTCCTCGTGTATTAGCTCCCAGCCAAAAAGGTCCCACCATACGTTAAAGATTTGGCAATTTACAGCCAGGGAGGAAGCTGGACTAGCAGCTAGATCAGGGATCAGCAACGTTTCCATGGTTTTCCAAACTGTTTTTTTTTCAACCAGAGCAGAGATGACATCTGCTAATGAGCAAGATCGTGCCTTGGCAAGAGACTGCAGCTCGTGCTTTAGGCAGAACTGCATAGGAGCTGAGGGTCCCTCTCGAAATGTCGCCCTAGACTTGCTATGAGACACTAAAAACACATCCACACCAACACGTTTCTGCTCTGGGGATTAGAGCTAGAGGCAGAGAATCGCTGCCACTGACTTTGTGCACTCACACCTCCAGTGTGAGGGAAGTTACCGGTCTAAACGAAGGGCCTTAGAAAGCCTACATCAGTATTTAGAGTTGAAAGCCCTGCCAAAGAGTAACATAAATATACATCCATTCGTTCTGTCTTTTTTATCTCTGTGGAGAGCAAAGAGGCTCTCAACATTT